CGTTTGGCCCCCGTTAAATTACATTCTATTTTTTTATCTCTTATTTTCAACTATACAATTTTTCATAAAATAATATTACACGTGAATCGAAAACTTTACATTCTTTTTCAACTATTCATTTTTCAGAAAAACATTAGTCCTCCCATTTTCATTACCAAAAAATGAAGGCCAAATATCAACCGACAAGCACATTTACCCATGTTAGGATTTGCGCCCATAAATATTAATATTTTACTATGATAGATGAACATTTTGAATGATATTGAATAAATAATTGAGCTCTATTTATATCTATAAAAATAAATTGTATTATATTTTTTAGTACGTATAAAAAGTATCTTCGATTGATGAGTGAAATATAAAATAAGATGATTAGTAGAGAAGATACTATTTTGCACGATTGTAAAATACGATGTTACTCTATTTTGTTAAGATAGTAATAGTTGCCACTATACCAATTGGGATATGCTGTTTGTTTTGACCATGGCAAGAGGATATAGAGTATAATGATACTAGTACGATTGATGATATATCCTAAAGTGTCTTGGACAATGACCATATTGTTATTTATTTTTTATTTTTTATTTTTTTTAACGAGGTGTCCCAGTTTGCGCCAGACTAAATCCTCGTCCCTGAACCTCCGGCCCCTCAGCAGCTCAGGGAGGTAAATCCCGGGATGTGCCCTTGTTGGTTCCCAGGTTCCCACACGGCTTTTACTCCTTCTCCAAAGAAAGCCTCTCCACTGCCTTACAGCAACTTGTCTTCCAAGATAAATCTTGCCTTTCAAGTTGTGCCTTCCAGAAATCGAACTCCCCACGCTTGGTTCCAAAGCCCCCAATGTGATTGTTCCGTCAATTCGGATGTGCCCCCGGGGGCAATGACCATATTGTTATTGCGGTTACATAGAGTTGTGTGCTTATCCCTTTTGTTTATTATGTCTATCTAGATCAATTGTATTTATGTTATTTTTATCATTTAATCAATATAATTAGCGTTCTGTTGTGGCTAACTACGATGTTGCGGTGGAATGTAACTTAACATTCTAAACGAATGTGCTTTGTAGTTCTAAATTAAACATAAATATAGCTCTTGTTTGGTGTCCATTATTTTTAAAATATATTTATTTCTTTTATTTTCAACCATATATTTTTCAATAAAATAATATAACATGTAAACCCAAAACTTATCATTATTTTTTAACCACTTAAATTGTATTTGCTCTCTCTCATGCTTATATCGATAGTTTTCCTTCAATGACCAATGAGACGCACATTGTCTATCAAAATACATTTTGGAAAAAAAAAAAAAAAAAGAGTGAAGCTCAAACAAGCTCAAAATTTCATTAAATTTACGACACCCCTATGTGTTAAAAATTAAAATACATATTTTAATTTAAGTCAAAGTTAATTATTAATTTTAATCATATATTTTATAGAATCCACAACTTTTTAATTATAAATTTTATCAACTTTTATCAAATTTACTAAAAAATTAATTTTAATTCTGACCAAATAGCGACAATATACTTTTTACATGATATATTTTTAATTACACTTTACGCTTAAATTTAGACCTGTTATATAAACATATTATTGTAATCAATCATTTTTGTTTTCATACTAGGGAGATTGATTCTAATTGAGCCCTTGTTCGATCCCATCTTCTAAATTTTTTATTTTTTTCTCAAACTCATTTTCAATCGCATTCCCACATTAAAGTATTTTTACATGTAAACCTAAAAAATTTCATACCTTTTAATCAAACGTTCTTGTTTAAATAGTAATTATTGCTAGCACTTATAAAAAATCTTGGGGTGTTCCATGTTTAGTATTTGGCAGCAACCAAATTGTTATTGCGATTTGATCACAAAGAATTTGTTGAATAACATGTTAGTTGAAGTGAGAATATAATTAGTAAGGATATTAACCCAACACTAGTTATTTGATATCCGACATAGATAATGAATCAATATCAAGACGATAGAATTTAGTTGTAGAAATTGGAAAAAAAATAAAAAATAAAAAATTGCTCACGTGATTTTATATAGAGGAAAAATTCATAATTAAGAGATTAATTATCACCTATTTCAAAATTAAGAACAAAAACTTTTAAATTTCAAAAATCAGTTATTTATTAAAATTTATTTATGATTTAATTAATTAATTATATATTCTATTAATTAATATATTAATGTCACTGATCTATACAATTTGGTTACAAATTAACAATTTAATTAATCAAATATTATTTTTTGTCACGAATTAGAATTTTTTATCTGTCAAAAATTATTTTACGGTCACAAGTCAAAAATTTTATATATCACAATTTGTTCATTGATCACGAATCAAAAATTTATAAATCACAATTTATTTATTGACCGCAAATCACAAATATTTTAAGCTTTTAGTCACAAATTATCAAATCGTTAATCACAAATTAACAATTTTTTAAGTAACACATTATTTTTTTTGTTACAATTTATCTTTTTATTGATCAAATATTATTTATTGGTCACGGATTAACCAATTTAATTGTCACAGTCAACTAAATAATTTGTGACCACCACTAATACTTGAGACCACCACCTTGCCACTGTCTCCAATAGCACCGCCACCGTCATCGCTAAAACCATTGCCACCTTCTCCTAACAACAGCACCACCACCTCAAACAAATCAACTCATGATAAGACATGAAATGTTGTGATTTACATTCATTAATTCTTGCACTTTTATGATTAATTAACAACTAAATGTGCCAAGTACCCTTATATTATGATTTAGGTTGCATTTGAACGATCATGGCACAAAATAGAAGAAAAGAGCAAAAACAGTGCTTTAATGGAAGAAATTGGAAGTTCAGGGACCAAGCTGCAAATAATCCTTAGACGAGACGAGCAATGGAATGAAAATTAAAGATGTTGCGGGTTCAATTGGACGCAATTAGAAGTTGAAGAGTTGAAATTGCAAGAGAAACAATTTAAAAGAATCAAAAATTGAATTCGGGGACTAAAATACAACTTTTAAAAGAAATTTTGCCTGGGCGACCGCCCAACATTAAAATTGAATTATCGAAGCCAAAAGCCATGCCTGGGTGATTGCCCGAGTTTTGTCTGGGCCACAGCCCAAGTCTATCGCGACGAGAAAAATCAGATTTCCTTTTCTGATTGAAATTTTTATGGAAACAAATATTGGAAAGTCTTTTATAACTCTAGGGACGTCCAAAAGGAGGATACCACTCATTATACTGATTCATAAGGATTTTTCTCTCTTCTTTGTTTAAGGATTATTGATGTATTACTAAACTTCATCTCTTGATCGAAGGATATTGAAGCCTTGGAATCGTTTTCAATTGTGAGATCTACTTAATTTTCATCGTTTGCTTTATATTTTCAGTATTGAATATTCTTCTATGCTTAATTTCATGATTGTTATGTTTGATTACTAAAAGGATCCATAAGTTTATCATGCGTTTTAATCTATAGTTAAGTTAAATATTAAATCCATAATTGTTTGATTAATTTAACTTGTGAAGCAACTAAGATTAGTAATTTGCTACTTTCGGAAATTATAAAATCTTAGGAAGAATATTTATCTAGGTTAAATGCAAACACTTAGTTTGTGTTATCTAGTTCATTGATTTCTCTAATTCGGAAAGCCATTATTAAATTAAAATCTCGCGCTTGTCTAAGATTGTTTGGTAATGAGGATTAATTAGATCGTTTGTTTCTAATTAATTAAAAGTAAGGAGAAATAAAATTGTTTCCAATGGAAAGTTATTTTCCAACGATAAATACTTAAAATATGAACTAATTATTTGTGGATCAATGTCCAATTGTAAAATCTCCAATGGTGGATGTTGACTTAGACCAAGGTTCGTTCTATTGATTTAATCAAATTTATTAATTTGCATTGCTTTTAGTTAGAATTGATTTCATCACAAACAAAACCCCCCGTTATTGTTAACATTGAATAAAATTAGGCTAATCACTCTTCGTGGGAACAATCCTTACTTCCACTACTATATACAATTTTTTGGAAGTGTAGGTTTTATTATTTTTGGGTGCCTGCGACAGCACGCCAAATTTTGGTGCCATAGCCGGGGGAGTGATTTAGTTTATTTTTGTGCTTTTTATTTGTTCACTAAGTTTTCAAAAAAAAAAAACATTTCCTTTTTGTTTATTTTGTTTAGTTTAGTTTATTTTTTTAATAGCTACCTTAATTGTTTATGCTCATAACTCAATCCTCTAACCAAAGTGATTTGCAGTACGATCCAGAATTAGAAAAAACTTTGCACAGATTAAGGAGTGGCATTCAACGAAATTTCGAGGGACACATGGCTGGACATCAAACTTTGAAGAAGCTTGCAGCTCCAAATTTGAACCAACAACCTCTCTGCATCACTTTTCCTACTTTAGGTGCTGCCACTACTTTTGAATTGAAGTCTGGACTAATAAATCTTTTGCCCACCTTTCATGATTTTGCAGGTGAAGATCCCCATAAATATTTGAAAGAATTCCACGTGGTTTGCACAAACATGAAACCTACAGGGGTAACTGAAGAGCAAATTAAACTGAGAGCCTTTCCGTTCTCTTTGGAGGATTCAGCTAAGGATTAACTCTACTATCTACCATCTGAAAGTATTACAACATGGGAGGAAATGAAGAGGATGTTCTTAGAAAAATATTTTCCAGCTTCAAGGGCAGCAAACATTCGAAAAGCAATTTTTAGCGTAATGCAGGACAGCAGGAAATCCTTACATGAATACTGGGAGCGTTTCAAGCGACTGCGTGCAAGCTGTCCCCATCATCAAATCATTGAACAACTACTCATCCAGTATTTTAATGAAGGGATTCTACCCACAGATAAGAGTATGATTGATGCTGCAAGTGAAGGAATTTTGGTGGATAAAACTCCCAAGGGTGCGATAAATTTGATTGCAAACATGGCTGCCAACTCTTAACAATTTGTCACTAGACTTGACACTCCTTCTAGACGTGTTAATGAGGTAAATGTTTCATCTCTTGAACAACAACTTGCAAGTCTAACTTCTCTAGTTCGTCAAATGGCTGCAGGTAATATGCAAACAACGAAGGCATGTAGGATTTGTTCGGTGGCAAGACATCCAACTGACATGTGCCCAAGTCTTCAAGAAGATGAACAAGTTAATTCAGTAGGCAGCTTTCCTGGACAACTATAAAGGAATTATAATCCTTACTCAAACACCTACAATGCAAGGTGGAGGGATCATCCTAATCTTAGCTATGGAAATCAACAAGTGAATCAACCAAACTTCCAGCAATATAGGCAGCCATGTCCTCCTAGACAACAACAGGACCAAACTTCAAGTTCTGGTATGTCTCTAGAGGATATTGTTAAGTTTTTGACCACTAACACTTTACAATTTCAACAGAAAACAAAACAATTCCAACAGGAAGCAAGGGCAAGTATTAAAAGTTTGGATAATCAAATGGGTCAAATGGCAACCGCAATCAACAGGCTGGAAGCACAAGGTTCGGGAAAATCACCCTTTCAAACAATGGTAGTCCCTATATCATTGGAGCAAGAAAAGGAGAAAGATGTCCTTGAAGAAAAGAGTGTTCCTAACGATGATGGCGTACCTAAGCGTAAGTTTCCACCCCTATCTGAGTTTAAACCGACACTCCCTTTCCCTCAGGCTTTAGTAGAACCAAGGAAAGATGAACATAATCGTGAACTTTATGAAACTTTTAGTAAATGTGAGGTAAACATTCCATTCTTGGATGCTATTAAACAAGTACCTCGTTATGCTAAGTTTTTGAAGAAATTGTGTACCCTTAAAAGAAAACAGAAACTTAAAAGGTGTGAAAAGATAAATGTAGGGAAAAATGTTTCGGCAATCATTCAAAGAAATCTCCCTACAAAGTGTAAAGATCCAGGCATGTTTAGCATCCCTTGCACGATAGGTAACATTAGGTTTGAAAAGGCCATGTTAGACTCAGGAGCTTCTATTAATGTCATGCCATACTTTGTATACGCTTCTTTAAAACTTAGACCTTTGAATGAAACTGGTGTCATAATTTAGCTAGCTGATAAATCTAATGTCTATCCTAAGGGTGTAGTTGAGGATGTTCTCATCAAATTTAATGATTTGGTTTTTTTCCGCTAACTTCTATGTACTTGATATGGAATATAATGATCAAACTATCCCCATTTTGCCAGGAAGACCATTCTTAAGGACATCCAAAGCTAAAATAGATTTTTATAGTGGCATGCTTACTATGAAATTTGATGATAGAATCAGTGAATTTAACATTTATGACGTCATGAAACATCCTGATGAAATTGACCTTGTTTATTATATTCAAGTGATGGACAATTTAGAACAGGAAGTTTTAGAACTTGATGAAAACAATGCAGTGAAAGTTGCCATAGATAAGCATATTGAGGATGTGAATCAGGAGTTACCTCGAATACTGCCTTGCAGGAAATCATTGCAGCATTGAATGCTTCTCCAAAGTCACTAAAGTCAAGTAAAAGTTCAGATATTGTTTTCCCAATTGCTAACGAGAGGCCTTTCTATGCAGGTTTCTAAATGGATGAGGTGAGAACATGGGACCTTGGGAACCCAATTGATGCTGGTTGAGGAAGGAGNAGGCCTTTCTATGCAGGTTTCTAAATGGATGAGGTGAGAACATGGGACCTTGGGAACCCAATTGATGCTGGTTGAGGAAGGAGAAGGAAGCAATAAATCTAGCCAAAGACAATAAAGAAAGGTACTGCTTGGGAGGCAACCCAAAGGAAGTTCGTTTCTTTTCTTTTTATTTTTCTTTTCGTTTTCGTATTTGCATTCATATTTTTGGTTAAATTTTTTCTCTTCTTGACATTTTACTTTACACTGGGGACAATGTAAATTTTAAGTGTGGGGGAGGAAATTAGGTTGAGTCTAAAATTTTCAGTTCGTATTTTTGTGTTTATTTTTTACTTTTTGATAAAACTTCGACATAAGGGGAAGAAAACAAAGTGATTTTGAACAATTTTAGTTGTGTATGTTATTTGCTAGATTCAATTAAGTTTCTGAAGAATTTATAACATGATTGAATAAGTAATCTCCCAACTTAAAGTTAATTAGTGTGGCTATTTTCTTTGAGGATGGTAGTAACTAGGTTTTGTAGACAAAAAGCCAATAAAATTTTGAGTCTTATGATTGAGACATACATATCAATCTCACTATTTTCTTTCATGTGTGATTTTCATCCATGGATTTGCTTCTCTAGAACTTGCTTTGATTCTCTTTGAGGCCATATTGATACATGCATGCATGAACATGATTAAGGCAATCTATGTTGCATAAGTTAGCCACCTTAGCCAAATAGTCTACCCTGTACTTAATTTTCCCTTTGTTGAAACCCTTTGAGCCTTATAGGATTTTCTTTTGTAAACCTATATTACAAGCTTTAAACCCGAAAAAAATAATGTCTTTACCTAAGTCGTGGAGCTAGTGGAGTATTGTTCATCATTTTGATACATATGGGAGTGCGAAAGAAATAAGTATGGGGGTGTCTAAAATTTTGGTAAGATTATAATGGTGGAATGGAACATATTATTCAATTTCAATTCATAAGTTCCATTATTAGTGCAATGTTTTGAGAAAAAAATTGAAAAAAGATGATGAAAAAGACAAAAAAAAAAAAGAAAAAAAAGAAAAAGAAAAGAAGTGATGGAGAAAATGATTTTCAATATTCCATAATTACTCTATGTTCATGATTCCTACTAGAATCACATGAAAATGATTGGGTTGTGTGAAATAGATGCAAATAAGTTGTGAGTGGAGAGATTTGAACTTACATGTTTTATGTATACATTTGAGTTGAGTTAATTCATCTTTACTCCACTAGTTTCTATGGCTTTTGAGTTACTTACCCAAATATCTCATACTTGGACTCTAGCACGCGTTACAACCTATAAAAAAGACCTTATGATATGTGTAATGCACGTGATCTAATTGGTGTAGAATGAGAAGATATGCAAGCGTATGGTAGGACACTTCCATTGGAATGAATTTGAGCGAAACACTTACCCTGCAAACATATGAGAGTTGAGCGCTTACTTCCGTGAGGGTTTACACGTTTGGTTCATCCATCTTCATTTGAGAATGCTTGCTAATTAACTATAAGTTGTGTGAGAATGTTTATCCATGAATTGTTATATGTTTTGAAGAGTTTGATTGTTCTATGTATGTGGCATTGCAACCCTATGAAAGTGAGTTTGAGTTTTACTTGAGGACGAGCAAAAACTAAGTGTGGGAAAATTTGATAAGACATGAAATGTTGTGATTTACATCCATTAATTCTTGTACTTTTATGATTAATTAACACCTAAATGTGTTAAGTACCCTTATATTGTGATTTAGGTTATATTTGGATGATCATGACATAAAATAGAAAAAAAGATCGAAAAAAGTGCTTTAATGAAAGAAATTGGAAGTTCAAGGACCAAGTTGCAAATAATTCTTACATGAGACGAGTAATAGAATAAAGACTAAAGATGTTGCGGGTTCAATTGGATACAATTAGAAGTTGAAGAGTTGAAATTGCAAGAGAAACAATTTAAAAAAATAAAAAATTGAATTCGGGACTAAAATACAACTTTTGGAAGAAATTTTGTCTGGGCGACAACCCAATTATAAAATTCGGGTGACTGCCCAACATTAAAATTAAATTACCGAAGCCAAAAGCCATGCCTAGGCGACTGCCCGAATTTTTCCCGGGAAATAGCCCAGGTCAATCGCGGTGAGAAAAATCTGTTTTTCTTTTCTGATTGAAATTCTTATGGAAACAAATCTTGGAGAGTCTTTTAAAACCCTAGGGACGTCCAAAAGGAGGATACCACTCATTATACCAGATTCATAAGGATTTTCTCTCTTTTTTTGTTTAAGGATTATTGATGTATTGCTAAACTACATCTCTTGGTCGAAGGATGTTGAAGCCTTTGAATCGTTTTCAATTGTGAGATCTACCTAATTTTCGACGTTTAATTTATATTTTCAGTATTGAATATTCTTCTATGCTTAATTTCATGATTGTTATGTTTGATTACTAAAAGGTCCATTAGTTTATCATGTGTTTCAATCTATAACTAAGTTAAATATCAAATCCATAATTGTTTGATTAATTTAACTTGTGAAGCAACTAGGATTAGTAATTTGCTACTTTCGAAAATTATAAAATCTTAGGAAGAATATTTATCTAGTTTAAATGCAAACGCTTGGCTTGTGTTATCTAGTTCATTGATTTCTCTAATTCGGAAAGCCATTATTAAATTAAATTCTCGCGTTTGTCTAGGATTGTTTGGTAATGAGGATTAATTAGAACGTTTATTTCTAATTAATTAAAAGTAAGGAGAAATAGGAAATTGTTTCCAATGGGAAATTATTTTCCAACGATGAATACTTAAAGTATGAACTAATTATTTGTGGATCAATGACCAATTGTAAATCTCCAATGGTGGATGTTGACTTAGACCAAGGTTCGTTCTATTGATTTAATCAAATTTATTAATTTGCATTACTTTTAGTTAGAATTGATTTCATCACAAATAAAACCCCCCGTTATTGTTAACATTGCATAAAATTAGGCTCATCACTCTTCGTGAAAACGATCATTACTTCCATTACTACATACAATTTTTTGGAAGTGTAGGTTTTATTATTTTTGGGTGCTTGCGACAGTATGCCAACCCATCGCAAAAAAAACCACCTCATCGTCGCGTTAGATCCACCATCACGAAAAAAATCATTACAGTCATAGTCACGACCACAAATCGAGATACAAATTTCCTAGATCTCCCATCATCCACGGTCATATCACCTAGATTGTGACCACCACCACCAATGCCAACATTATTTGTGAAAATCATCACATCTATCACTAGATCTACCATAAAAAATCTCCTCAAAATCCCAACACTAATACATAGAAAACCACCACCACCTAACCTACAGCACTGTAATCTCCACATCCCAAAACCTACCATCATCGCCTGCCATCACCGTCGTAGCCGATCCACAACTATAGCCATCGCCATCTCACCATCATGGCCCACAAAATTTTACAACTAGCACCTCTTGTATGTCCATCTTCACAACACCATCAACACTAAAAATTTCCCAAATCATCGCTACCGTCGCCATGACCTCAACAACCCGTAGCGGTGTTGGTTGCTTCAGAGTGATGACTACAGCATCATCTTCGCAGCGATGCTGTTGCTTTAGAGCGATGCTTCTCGGTGGTGGAATCCGATCGTGTGCATTATTGCGTCGAACCCTGCTGTGCACTGCCTAAACCAGCAGTGATCTCGGGAGCCAGAGCCACCTTTCTTCTATGACTTGTTACCGAATTTGCTTGGAGGGGGGGGGGAGAGAGAGATGTGGGTTATGTAATTTGCGTTTTTGGATTTTTTGGGTTTGGTTGGTAATGATTTAGAGAGAGATAATAGAAGAAAGAGAAATTGAATATTATTAATATTAAATACTTGAATTAATATTTGATTTTTGTATAAACAAATTTTATATTTGATTTTTGAAACTAGATCTTTAAAAATCTGGTTGGGTGTAATTTCCACTTTATATTGAAAAAATTTCATAAGTAAGAATTTAAGTGTCACACGTTTCAAATTTTAGAAAACAAGTTTCAAGTTTCAAAAATCAGATTTTTATTAAAATTCATTTATGATCCAATTAATTAATTGATTGATTAAATATATTTAGGTCACCGATACGTATAATTTGGTCAAAAATTAACAATTTAATTAGTCGCTTATTATTTTTTGATCACAAATCAGAAATTTTATGTCATAAATTATATTATGATCACAATTCAAAAATATGTAGGTCACATTTTTGTTCATCGGTCACAAATAAACAAAATTAATTAGTCATAGATTAATTTTTAGTCACAACTTATCAAATTATTGGTCACAACTTATTTTTCATTCACAAATCAAAAATTTTATAGGTCACATATTATTTGTCGGTTATGAATAAAATTTTTCGTAGGTCACAAATTATTCATTGATCACAAAATAAAAAATTTTATTAGTCACAACTCATTTATTAATTACAAATTATTAGATTAAATTTGTCACGATTAATTTTTCGATTACAACTTAATCAATTGTTGAGTCAAAGTCACAATTTTTTGGTCATATATTACGAATTAACCAATTATTAGTCATAATCAACCAAATAATTGGTCAAAGCATCCAACCCCATCTCATCCCACTCATGACCATCACCACAACCACCATCACTATCACCATTATCAAATTGCTACCTTCAAAATCTGGAAGCTACCAGCATCGTTGACATCACCATCACTACAATACCAACAACACCCACACCCCATCCCACCACTCTAAAGTACCACACCACTGCCAACAACCACTAGCGATGCTGCCCACCACCACCGTCGACATCACCACCACTACAATACCAATAGTAACACCA